GCAAAGGCGGGAATTCTGGGAAGTCTCAAGCTTTAAGAAACAAATCAACTACAAATGAGAAAAAGAGGGAGAAGAGAAGGAAGAAAAGGGAACAGCAACAGAGTGAAGCAAATGAGCTCAGGAATCCTGCTTTTAAGAAAATTCCTCAGAAATCCTCCCATACCACATGTAACACTCAGCATGAGCTTCCACTGTCAAATCGAGCGCAGAAGGAGTCACGGGAAGAAAACAGGCAGGAGTGGAGACAGACAGATGAGCAGATCAAACGATGTGTTCAACAACAGTTACTGTCCGTGAATAAATCTCACATAACACTTGAAATGTTTGGAGCAGATCTTGAGAAGGCACTGTTGCTAAGTAAACTGGAATATGAGGAGCAAAGGAGTATGAAAACGCTGAAAATGTTTCAACGCAATCAAAAGTTATGAATAAAAAAGACAGAAAAAGGAATCAGCAGGGAAAAGATAAACTTCTCGCAGTATCACTGGAAAATTTTCAATCTGAAGATCACATTAACAAAAAGACTGAGGAATTGAGTACTTCTCAGACTATCACATGATGGAGGATTTTTCAATAGACTGGAAGATGATGTTCATAAAACTATTTTTTTTAAAGATTTATTTATTTATTGGAAAGTCAGATATACAAAGAGGAGGAGAGACAGAGAGGAAGATCTTCCGTCCGATGATTCACTCCCCAAGTGAGTGCAATGGCTGGTGCTGTGCCGATCAGAAGCCAGGAGCCAGGAACCTCCTCCAGGTCTCCCACATGGGTGCAGGGTCCCAAAGCATTGGGCCGTCCTCGACTGCTTCCCCAGCCACAAGCAGGGAGCTGGATGGGAAGTGGAGCTGCTGGGATTAGAACCGGCACCCACATGGGATCCTGGTGCGTTCAAGGCGAAGACTTTAGCCACTAGGCCACGCTGCCGGGCCCCATAAAATTCTTATTAGAGAAAAAAGAAAAGAGCAATTTTCAGAATATAATGGAATAGATAATGGTACAACTCCCCGAACATAACCAGGAAGTGGTTTTAAAAGATGGAAGAATTAAAAGACTGAAGTTGGAACTTGAGAGAAAAGATGTTGAAATCCAGAAGCTAAAAACTGTGATCACTCAGTGGGAGGCAAAATATAAAGAAGTAAAAGCAAGAAACGCACAATTATTGAAAGTACTTCAGGAAGGTGAAATGAAAGATAAAGCAGAGATACTTCTGCAAGTTGATGAACCACAGAGTATCAAGAATGAGCTAACTATACAGGTTACATCACCTCATGCTGCATTAGAACAAAGATCTAAAGTGAAAGTATTACAAGCAGAATTAGCCAAATACCAGGGTGGCAGAAAAGGGAAAAGAAACTCTGAGTCCGACCAGTGTAGGTGATTTCATTAGCTTTTCAAGTCAACGCAAAAGCTAACACTTTCAGGGCTTTACAAAATGTATATATTTAATGCTGTGTAACTGCTAAACTATGCAGTTTTTGTTGAAGGAATTAAAAGCAACTAGCTCATTATAGTCTATAATTTTATGTTCTTTTGACTTAAAGAAAAAAGAATAGAGGATTCCAGAAACTCAGCAATTATTGTTTACTATCCATCCTTATCACCTTAGTTTTTCATCAGTCAATAAAATTTACTCTTCCAAAAAAAAAATAGAGTATGAATCAATGAATGGAGAATATCCTTCCTTCCGCCCTTCCTCTATCTCTGTCTCTGTCTCTCTCTCTCCACTCCCTCTGTAACTCTGACCTCAAAATAAGTAAACAGATAATTTTAACTTAAAAATTTAAAACATAAATAAATGTTTTAGACAAGATTATGTGATAGATGATAAAACTGAGAAAACAAGAAGAAACAGCATAGTTGCACATATTCAAAGAGTCTAAGATATGTATTAACAATAAAGGGAGAAACAGCTTTATAACGGAGTAAGATAGTAGGTGTCATTTAACAAAATAAAGCTGATAGCACCAATTATAAGACCTACAGCTGTTATGATGTATTAAGAATAGCACATCACTTCTGTGCAGTTCATCCCTAAAACACAAATCGTTTAACATAATAATGAGGAAACTGGGAGAACTCAAATTGAGGAATATTCTGCAACATAAGGCCCAGTATTCTTTTTTTTTATTATTGTTATTAACATTGTATTATGTGATACAGTTATATAGGCACTGGGAATTCCCCCCGCCCCTCCCACACCCCTCCCCCAATAGTGGATTCCTCCACCTTGCTGCATAACCACAGTTCAAGTTCAGTTGAGATTCCTTCATTGCAAGCATATACCTAGCATAAAGTCCAGCATCTTATTGTCCAGATAAGTTCAGTGGCCTCTTGGGGAGACCTTCTCTGGTCTGAAGGTAGAGCTAACAGAGTAAAGTTCCGGTCAGTTAAAAGCCCCAACAAAACATCAGCATCAATATACAACGTTATGGAATTAATTGACATAGTATTGAGTAAACAATATGTTGAAAATAATGCAAGTTCAATTCTTCAAAACATCTCGGCCCAGTATTCTTAAAAAATATCACAGTTGGGACAGATGCTGTAGCACAGGGTGTTAAGTGGCTGCTTGCAATGTCCACATCCCGTATCAGAATGCCTGGGATCCCAGTCCCACCTCCATTTCTGATCCAGCTTCTTGCTAATGCACACCCTAGAAGTCAGCTGATGACAGTTCAAGTATTTGAGTCCCTGTCATTCACACTGGAGACCCTGATGGAATTCAAAGCTCCTGGTTTTGGCCTGGTCCAGTCCTAGCTGTTGTAGCCATTTGGAGAGTGAACCAACAGATGGAAGATGTTTCTGGCTCTCTCGCTCTTCAAATAACTATTTCTAAAAAGTGTCATATGACAAAAAAAGAAGAAAATGTCATAGACTATGGAAATTAAAATTAAAACGGCAGGACAACAAAATCCACAGACCTGGTCAGGCTGGTCTCAGAGCTCCAACCATGCAGTATCTGTGCATGGAGTGCATGTGTCAAAACTGGCTTGTTTCTCAGTTGATAAAACAAAGCAATGGACAGCATGCCCATGGGGGATATGGGAGTCCATTGGGGCCTGCTGGTACCATAGCAAAAGAAAAGGAACAGAACAAATTGGAAAACTACTGCAGCCAACCAAATATCTAGGCAAATGGAGACTCTAAGGTGGACTATGTGGGCCAATAGAACTTGGAAAGATTTCCTCATGCTTGCACCGGCGAAATCCAAGTAATTTCAGAACTACTGAAAGCGCTTGAGCACAACCCTCAGAGCATGCTCCACACTGGGAACCCTGGTGTAACATCAGGTGGCCATTCCCTATCCCCGGTGCTGAGGTACTGGGAGGCTGGATGCAGCTTCTCCCCTCTCTTCCTCCTTCCCTCAGAGGAAGAAGAAAAAGAAAATTTGGAAACAACAATCTAACCTACTTTTTACTAACCCTCAGCCTTTCAACTATGTAAAAATTATCAAAAAATAAAATTTTTTAAAAACCTACAGAATGCAATGTAGTGTCTGAACCGAATGCTAGAACGGTAAAAAAAAAAAAAAAAAAAAAAAAAAACAGCATTGGAAAATCAAATCACATTTTTTGTTTAAAGTATTATACTCATTTCAATGTCTTATTTTAAATAATCACAGCACAGTTGTGCAGATACTAACATTAGTGAAAACTATTTCTTCTCATGTTGAATTTTTATGTCCTAGTTATTGGAAGAACTATCTCTAGCTTACATGTGGTGACTGCCATAGATCACTCTTGCATCTTAATCAGAAAAGAAATATAAAATGTATTATTTTTTATTTGCTTTTTTAAAGTTTAAAATGCTGTAATATATTTAAAATCATAAAGAGAAATGCATAAATTCCATAGCATGAATTTGTAATGGTGGAATTTCAGATCATTTGCATAAAGGATGTAGCCTAAGGCAGAGGATTTTACTTCACTGGATAAACTATGTAGCAAATCAATATCAGTCTATACAGAGGTATTAAAATCTGGATGATGTGGATGGATGACTAGTTCCTTAAAAAAAAACATGTTGAAATCTGACTGCCATTGTAAAGGTGTTGAGATAGGAGTTTGAAAAGGTACTTGGATCATGAATGGATTAACGTTCTTTTCCCAAATCTGAGTGAGCATCCTCTTGAGACTGGGTTAGTTCTGAACAGCAGGTTGTTAGAAGACAGCCTGGTGCTTCGGGCCAGTGGCGCAATGGATAACGCGTCTGACTACGGATCAGAAGAGAGCCTGTTCGTCCTTTTATTTTCTCTCTTACATTTTCCACTCTTGTACACCTATCAGTATGGTTTTCCACTTTCTGTTATGAGGTAAGCCATACAAGGCCCTTATCATATACCAACACCTTTCCAGCCTCCAAACTGTAGGCCAAAATAATCCTCTTTTTTTTTCACAAACTACCTGGTCTCTAGTATACTTTTTAACCATAGAAAACTAAGACATACACTAGACATGATAGAATTAATCTGGCAATGTAAGACTTTTGTTTTGCCTCCATTATTCATTCCACTAAAGCTAACAATGGACCACAAATGGTTTATTTTTTTTGTAAAAAAGTACTTCCTTCATAGGTAGAAACAAATTTAACCTTATTTGTTTTGCTATACATGACAGCAAATATGCAAGAAAGGAGAACAAGGCTTAATATGATGCATTCCAAACAATGATTTTCAGCACAGAATTTGAATATAACTCGTCCACAACCATAATACGACTAATAAATGAACATGAGTAACTCTATTATGTTATCACAGAAATACTGTTCTATTTAATGTATAATCTAAAACAAGTCCCAGAAAGTATACTTATTGTTTTTTAATTATTTGAAAAATTGATCCAAGAAAGAGTTTGCTGATTAAACTTCAGTTAATTAGAGTACAACATTACTCCCCTCCCAAAAAATGATTAAACTTTGGAGCATTTTCTTTAAATTTTATTTTAAAACCATTGTAAAATACCAGCAACTTCAAAATAATAAGGCAAATTAACACATACCTCTTGTAAGTCAGAGGAAGAGGACTTCTTCCTTTTTCCTTCTGTGACAATTTCTACCAAAAAAATGGTAAAAAAAAAAAAAATTATCATTTAACATCAAATTTAGAAACATTTTAACAGAACAAATCCTTTCAATACATTCCTGTTTTAAATTGCTGGATTTAGAACTTACAGTGATATATTTTCTAGAATCCAAAAGGCTAAAGATATAGGTTAAAAAAAAATGACCTGTCAGAAAGAAGATTCTCACAAAATGCCTCTAGTAAATAATACATGCAAAGTGGCAGAAGAAATTTGGATCTAAGAACTGAACAAAATTTCCTAGCCAAATTCCTTACATACTTTAGCAGAAGCATCTAATTACTAAATTCTTATGATGGGGATCTATGGGTAAGTGAAATCTACAAAAACATTTTCAGTTGTACTTTATATCCAAGCCTAATGTGCCACTAGGAACAGCTGAACTCTTAAGTCATCAACATTTTGCAGACCTCCGGAGGATTTTTCTTTCATGAACTAATTCACTCAGCAAAGAAATGTCTATCATGTGCCTAGTATTGTGCTAGGCAGCAAAAACGGTGTAGTGAGAAAATCAGAAATAAGTCAAGGTTTCCTGAAATTTAGAGTCTACTGGAAAATATCACAAATTTCATAATAAACAAAAAAGACAGAGATACACAAACTATATGTGCAAACTCACTTATGACACAGAACACAGCAATTCAGTGGAAAGGGGTGATTTTTTTCAATATATGTATCAAAAGTGGCACCAAAATATACAATAAAGATTCAGTTTAAAAATGGGCAAATGAACTAAATATACATGTCTCAAAAGAAATATGATGTTTTCCTGTGCACAGAGGGTTAAGCTGATATCTGCAACAGTGACATTCCATACAAGCACCAATTTGAGTTCCTGCTAAGTTCACCTGGGAAGACAACAAAAAAACGGTCCAAATACATGAACCCCTGCCACTCACTCGGGAGACTTGGATGGAATTTCTTTTTATTCTTTTTTTAAAGATTTACATTTCTATTGGAAAGACAAATTTACAGAAAAAAGGGAGACAAAGGGAAAAAGATAATCTGTCCGCCTATTCATTTCCCAAATTCCTGCAGCAGGTGGAGTTGAGCCAACAAGAAGTCAGCAACCGGAAACTTCCTAGGGATCTTCCATGCATATGCAGGGTGCCGAGGCTCTGAGCTGTACTCTACTGATTTCCCAGGACACAAGCAGGAAGCTGGATGGAGAGTGAGCAGCCAGGACACAAACCACTGCCCATATGGGATTCCAGCGGATGCAAGGTGAGAATTTAGCCACTAGGCTATTGAGCTAGGCCCTGGATAGAATTTCTGACTCCTAACTTCATCCTAACTTCATCAAATCTATTGTGCAAAGTGAACCAGCAGATGGAAGATTTGCCACTCTTCTTTCAAATAAATAAAATAAATCCTTAGGGAGAGGAACAGAAAAACGTTGAGGACGGTAAATACTGATGGTTGTCAATGTGGCAATCAATGCAATGCCAGTGTGCCATGTCAGAATGCTGGTTTTGGCCTGATCTGGCTCTGGCTGTGATGGCCATCTGGGGAGTGAACTAACATACAAGATCTACCTATTTCTGTTTTTCCCTCTCTCCATGTGACCTTACCGGCTTTCAAATTAACAAAATCCCTTTTTTATTTTAAATATTTATTTATCAAATTTAAAGACAGAGCACGAGATTTTTCTATCAACCGGTCCACTGGCCGAATGGAAGGAACAACCAGGCCTGGGCGAGGCAGAACTCAGGAGTCTGGAACTCTGTTTCTTACACAATTGCCAGAGGTCCAAACAGACCATCTTCTGTGTTTTCTAGGTGCAATGGCAGGGAGCTAGGCCAGAGGTGGGGCAGCTTGAGACCAGCACGATGGCTGGGAAAGCCTGGGAAAGGAGTAGAGGATGGCCCAAAGCCTGGAGAACCTGCACCTACATGGGAGACCCAGAAGAAACTCCTTGGCTCCTGGATTTAGATCACCTCAGCTCCATCCACTGTGACCACTTGGAAGACTAAATCAGTGGATGGAAGATCTTTCTCTCTGAAACTTCCCTCTGTAATTTTCCTTCCAATAAAATAAATCCTTACAAAAAGAAAAAGTGGCACAAACAGGCCTGGCATGATGCCCTGGCTAAGTCCTCACCTTGCAAGTACTGGGATCACTTAAGGGATCACTCGGATCACACCACTTTCCATCCTATGCACCCTGCACCTGTGTGGAAAAATCAGAAGAAGCTCCTGGCTCCTGGAATCAGATTAGCTCAGCTGCAGTTGTTGTGGCCATTTGGGGAGTGAACCAGGAAGATCTCTGTTTGTCCTTTATTTTGTGGATATGCTTTTTTTTATTAATTTTTTTTATTAATTACATTTCATTTTGTGACAGTTTCATAGACCCCTCTCTGTGCCCTCCCCCCATGGTGGATTCCTCCATGTTGTTACAGTAGCAGAGTTAATAACCAGTCATGCTTCCTTCATTGCAAGCATATACCAAGCATAGAGTCCCACATCTTACTGTTCAGATAAATTCAACAGCTCACTGGGGAGACCATCTCTGGTTTGAAGTCAGAGCTGGCAGAACATCCCAACCAATTAAAAGCCCCGACATAACACCAACAACAATTTACAATATTATGGAATTAATTGGCATGGTATGAGTAACCAATATGTTAAAAGAATGCAAGTTCTTAACCACATCCCATAACTACTTCACTAACATTTCAATTATTAGTTTATATACAACTGGCTTCTATACACCTTAAAATGGCTATAGATTATTATTCAGCTGTTTCATGTCTATTTTCATTTTAGTATTTAGCAGTTTATAGCGTTGAAGCATGATTTTTACTGAACTTGGCAGATTTTAGGATAGTCTAAACTGGCTTAGAACTCTAACAAGGCATATGTCAACAATTGAGGTGCAGAACAGTTTTAGGAGGGGTGTGCCGAGAAATCTTCAATACCTTAGTAAGGAGTAATTAATCTCTATGTCCTACCTAGTAAAGTATATGTGAGTTCACGCTGACCGTTTCCTGTCTGTTCTAAGCTTTCCTTGTTGTTCTCTGTCTATCTATTCTAATTTTTTTGTTGTTTTTAGGGAGGAGGGGTCTCCGGAGCGACCCTGATGGTCATTGCAAGAGAGAGTGGGGATCCAAAGTTGGAACTAAGTAAGGACCAGAGAAAGCTCCCTAGTGTGGATCTGCTTTTACAGTGAATGGCAACAATGGAGGGTAGAGGGCAGTGCAGGGCACCTAGGGTGGGCACACATCCTCATTTCAGCAATACACATTCACAAATGAAATTAAGAAACTGGTTCAATTATCAAATATAAACCTCTCATTCCAAAAAAAAACACTGACCTTGAACCCTTAGGCTTCTTCACTGAATTCACTCTTTGTCCACACATCTTGTCATCTCCTTTAACATATGCACTGTCTTCTAACACCAAGTAAACCAAAACATATTTTTGTACCTATATATTTATTTTTTAAACTGCTGACTTATTTTTATTTCAGTGGAAGATTTACAGAGACAAAGGGAAGACAGAGATCTTCCATCCACTGATATATTTCCAAAAAGATGGCAACAGTTAGAGCTGAGCCAACCAAAGCCAGGAGCCAGGAGCTTCTTCCAGATCTCCCATACAAGTGGCAGGCACCCACGAACTTGGCTCACCTTTTGCTGCTTTCCCAGGCAGCAGAAGTGCTGCAGCCAGGATTTGAACCAGCTCTCATATGGGATGTTGTCACCAAAGATGGAGGCTTAACTTAGAATGCCACAGCACTGGTCCCTCCATATTCTTGTTATTTTGCTTACTACTACCTAGGAAAGCCACACAGTTGTGGCAGGTATCACTTCCAAAAATGTATACTTGTTTTAACACTTCAAAATTACTTAATGGCTCTTACATTCATCACTAAATGACTTTCTATTCTACTTTGAGCTCCTATAACATTTAAAAGCCCCTCTTTTTTTAAGATTTATCTATTTTTATTGCAAAGTCAGATATACAGAGAGGAGGAGAGACAGACAGAAAAATCTTTCATCTGATGATTCACTCCCCAAGTGACTGCAACAGCTGGAGCTGGGCCAATCCAAAGCCAGAAGCCAGGAACTTCTTATTAGTTTCCCATGCGGGTGCAGGATCCCAAGACTTTGGGCCATCCCTGACTGCCCTCCCAGACCACAAGCAGGGAGCTTGATGGGAAGTGGGGACGCCAGGATAGAACCAATGCCCATACGGGATCCCGGCGTGTTCAAGGCAAGGACTTCAGCTGCTAGGCTACCACACTAGGCCCGCCCCTCTTTCTTTCTTTTTCTTTTTTTAAATATTTATTTATTTATTGGAAAGTCAGATATACAGAGAGGAGGAGAGACAGAAAAGAAGATCTTCCATCCAATGATTCATTCCCCAAGTGAGTGCAACGGCCAATGAATGCTATGCCACTAATCCGAAGCCAGGAGCGAGGAACTTGCTCCAGGTTTCCCACAGAGTGCAGGGTCCTCGACTGCTTTCCCCAGGCACATGCAGGAATCTGGATGGGAAGTGGAGCTGCTGGGATTAGAACCGGCGCCCATATGGGATCCCGGTGCATTCAAGGCAAGGACTTTAGCTGCTAGGACACGCCGCCGGGCCCCCGCCCCTCTTTCTTAAGGACCAGTGCAATGGCTCAACTGGCTAATCCTCCTTCTACAAACACTAGCATCCCAAAGGCTTCAGTCCATGCCCCAGTCGCTTCACATCCCATCTAGTACGTGCTAGTGGCCTAGGAAAGCAGCAGAGAATGGTCCAAACACTGTATCTCTATGGCAGACCTGGAGGATGTTCCTTGCTCCAAATCAGATCAGCTCAACTCTGGCCGTTGTAGCCACTTGGGAGCGAACCGGCAGATACAAGATCTTTCTGTCTCTCCTCTCTATAAGTCTGCCTTTCCAACAAAATTAAGTAAATCTTTAAAAATTTATCTTTGAGGGCGCGGCAAAGTAGCCTAGTGGCTAATGTCCTTGCATTGCAAGCA